GGGCAACCTTCCTTTAAGGAAGTAGAGGGAGGCTTGGGGGCCCTTCACACTTGGGGAGGCCGAGGCCAGAGAGGGGACTTACCCAAGGCCACACCGTGAGCCAGAAAATGCTGGGGCTAGCACCTGGGCTTCTAGATTCCAGTCTAGACCCAGTCTCGTGGGCCAAACTGACAGCCCTGCCTGGGGCACATGTCAGGGGGTCTCTGCCAAAGACGGCTGAAGGCTGCCTGGTCTTGGGGAACCCCCTTCTCTGTCCCAGAAGCGCCCTTTTGGACACCAGCGGGGCACAGATGGCCTGACCCTCATGATGGTACCAGTGCCATCCGCCGGCCTTGTGCCAGCCTGCAGTGAGAACCAGGGCCCCCAGAGGCAGGCGGGAGGCCCCTCAGCTCCCCTTGGTAGGGCGTGAGCACCCCCGCCTCCTTCGTGGGTCTCTTCCCAGGGCGCCAGGGCCACTCCAAGTAGCCCCTCTCCCTCCCCAGCTCACGGGCCCCACAGGCACTCGGGGCATCCCCACCAGCCAGGGCAGGTCAGTTGCATCTGAAAGGAAGCCCCGTGGACACTGTTCAGCCTTCCCAGTTCCCTCATTCCTTCAGATATTCCTTGAGCATTTGACACAGGCCTCGCTGGGCTCCGTGGAGCCTCAGGGAGCATGACTGGTTCCTGGCCCCGGGGACTCTGGTCCTCTGGTCCTCAACAGGTGGCTCAATTCTGTGTGGCAGGGTCTTGGCCAGGTCAAGCTCACAGTGTATTTGTTTAGAGGCCCAATCCAGACTGGGGAAATCAGGGAGGGCTGCCTGAAAGAAGTCCCTTCCGAGCTGAGACTGCAAAGAAGGGAGGAACTGTCCAGATTGGGAGGAGGACAGGGGTGGAGGGGAATACTGAGCACAGGCAGAAAGAGTGGGTCCCGTCTAAGAGCCTATGGCAGCTGGCGTGGCCAGAGCTTAACGCAGTCAAGGGGTGTCTTAGGCAAGGAGTTTGGACTCTGTCCTAAGGGCCAGCAGTGTCTCTCCATGCCGGGCCTGGGGCTGGGCTCATGAGATGTCAGCTGCCCCCCGCAGTCCCCAGTGAGCAGGGGTCTGAGTCCAGCGCTGTGTGGCCCAGAGAGAGGGAATGAGACAGTGAATGGGGGCAGGGAGCTGTGGCAGCAAATGAGTGAATGAAATGCAAGCCAGAGTCAGGGCGAGACTCGCTCCAGACCCCCAGGAGAGCAGGGCGCCAACAAGCACTGGCAGAGATGCCCAGCGTCTGGACACTGTGCCGAGCTGTCTGCAGCCGTGGGCACTGAGGCTTTCGGGCCCCGCAGGCACCACCAGCCAGCCAGGCGGTGCTGACTCTCACTGAGTCAGGGCCAGGATGCTCCTGCCCCGGGACAAGGCTGGACCACACCAAAGCCGAGATGTCTTGGGTGCCTGCAGCCCGAGGCGGGGAACCGGTGCCAAGGGGTCTTCACCTGCCCCCCACGCCCGCCATCTCCCCTTCCACTGGACCCAAACCAAACCCAGTGGAAAGCATTTCACCAGGCACCCTGACCCCACGGAGGTGGGATGGGGCTTATGGAATATCCATCTGGAGGGAACTGTGTTAGAAGGAAACTGGGACACCCTCCCCCGCCTCCCCGGGCAAGGGCAGCGTTGCCCTGGAGCCCAAAGCCAGCCGGAGGCCTGGAAGTAGGAACAGGCGCGGCAGATCCAAGGGGCAGGGGACGTGGGGCAGGTGGCTGTCCCTCTCCTCCTGCCCCAGAGTGTGGTCCCGGACAGAGGGGCTTCCTTGGCCATCCACCCTCCTCCTTCTCCAGTGGTATCTGGTGCGGGCAGTGATGTGCTTGGAGATAATCTGCTGACCCATCCAGAACCATCAAGCACCCTCCTCCTCCAGAAAGCCTTCCGGAGCTCATCTGGGGGGCCCAGCACATTGGGCTCTGCCTGCCCCTGGCTGCATCTCCCATGCCCTCTCCTCTGCTCCGGGTCATGCGGCGTCTTTTTCCCTCAAAAGCACGGAGGCTTTGCAGTTTCTCTGCCCCCTCCTCCCCCAACATGGCCAAGCTTGCCTGTGACTCAGCCGCCAGGCCTCTCCCTCCCCCACCCGTGCTCTCTAGCCCATCCCTGTTTGTCCCCTTGCTTGTCTCCTGTCTCCCCTACAGCACGGATGACTCTCTATATACTTCCTTCCCTTCCTGGATACACTTCCACACTCCCCACCCGTGTGTCCCACACACACGCACGTGTACCCACGCGCACACATGCACACCGGGACACAGGGACACACGTGCTTGCGCGCATGTGCACGCACACAGCCTTGAACCCTGGTCTCGGTCTGTTCTGACACCTCTCCTTCCCCAACCTGGCAACCTGCATTATGGATTCCCACTTCAACTGGAGGAGGACAGGCTCAGAGATGTTAAGAACCCGCCGAGGGCCACACAGCTAGTCAATGGCGAAGCTGGGGGTCAACCAGTACCGCTTCCTCACCCCTGGGCTCCACAGCCCCCGCCATGAGCCAGCACGGCTCCTGTGCTCACTGGGTCCTTGCTGGAGCTTCTCCCAGAGCCCAGAAGGAAAACACTTCTCAGCCCTCCCCCCGCCCTGCCCTCCTGTCTGTCAACACAACATAAAAGTTAATCTAGAAGTAAATAAATTTACTAAGAGGAACAGAACCTTTAAAAAAGAAAACTGAGATGCCCAAAGGGGGATGCCTAATTTTCTCCCATTTCACAATTGAATTGTAAATCTGTCTTGGAACTGAGCTACCAGGCCATGTGTTCCGTTCACAGAGGAGGGGTCTCGCCGGCTTTCTCCTCTGCCCGCCCCTCCAGGTCCCAGACCAGCACAAACCGGGCTGATTTACCCATGTCACCTGTGGAGCCCTCAGGCCAAGGCTGAGCTGCTGGGCCCACGTGTCGCTTGGGGTCACTGAGCCCTCAACGCTGCAGTGGACAGCTGCGGAGACACCCCAGGCCTGAGGGGCCCATGAGGGGGCTGTCCATGCCCAGGTGTGCTACTGACCTGAGTTTTCTGACAGCAGAAAGCAGCGGGGCCACCTGCCTTAGCGTCCCAGCGCCACCCGGTGAGGCCCACTGAGTCCTCTGGCCTCTTTCCACTCCCATGGTTGGGACCCACGGCCAAGACGCCCCAAGATTTCTTGGGGGGCACTGCTACCGTTAACTTATAACAAGCAACCCCAGGAAAGCTGGAGCTGACCGACAGCGGCACGGAATTGAAATCTGTGATGTTTAAACTTTGCAAGAAGCAACGTGAGCTTTTTTCTTTTCTAAAAAATAAATTTATTTATTTTTGGCTCCGTTGGGTCTTCGTTGCTGTGCGCGGGCCTTCTCTAGTTGCGGCGAGCAGGCTTCTAATTGCGGTGGCTTCTCCTGTTGCGGAGCACGGGCTCTAGGTGCGCCGGCTTCAGTAGTTGTGGCTCTCAGGCTCAGTAGTTGTGGCACACGGGCTTAGTTGCTCCACGGCATGTGGGATCTTCCCGGACCAGGGCTCAAACCCATGTCCCCTGCATTGGCAGGCGGATTCCCAACCGCTGCACACCAGGGAAGTCCCACAACGTGAGCTTTGAAGACAGCATTTCCATGTGTTTATTAACAGTCCTAAGAGGCCATGTCTCTGGCCCCTCTCATTTCACGTGTACCCCCCATGCACCGTCATCCTCGGCCCTCCCAGACCTGACATCGTCTACGAGAGGATGAATCCCACTGCTCAGGTATGCATGGCGAGCTGGTAGCCGGGGTCACGGCTGCTCTTGGCCCTTGGCTAGCAGTCCTGGTGAAGTGCTGACGATAGCAGCTCCCGCACCGGCCTCGGTTCCGCGTCAGGCCCTGCGCTGTCCACCCTGAGCCCCGCCCTGGGAGGTAGGGGTTTCCTCCACCAGACAGGTGGGGAAGCTGGGACCCCCAGACCAGCTCACGGTCATGACCCGGATCTGATGCCCAAGCCTTTGCTCCCCTCGCTGCTCCCCGCCTACTTCAAAGACTGCACCCGTTTCAGGCCATGGTCACCTCTGCGCCACGTAACGGGACAGCGGGGGGGGCCCAGCTAATGCACAGACAATCCCGTTCTCCCAACAGAATCCAAAGCTTCCTCTTCCCATGTACTCTGCTGTCCTCTCAGTGACCCCAGGCCTCACCGCCTCACCTGTTGATGCCAAGCTGAGCTCGCGCTTGACCTTGGCCCTGACACGTGTGAGAAAGCAGGACGGGAGAAGCCTGAAAGATGGCCAGCCCAGGTAGAAGGACTGACGTCCCCCCGGGGCAGGGGGTCTTCTTCTGGAAAGAGGCCCCCAGCTGCCCCTGCCGGGCCTAGAAGCACAGTCCCAGGCTGGATCCTACACCTGCGGACCCTCCTCCCCCTGAGCGCCCAGCGCTGGGCTCTCCACTTCCTGAAGGCGGCCCCTCTTCTGACGTTCCAGAAGGTTCCACTGACAAGAGCATGGATGCTTCTCTAATTACTAACAGGCAAGTACCCCCCAGGGAAGCCCTCAGCCTCCAGGTTCTGAAGCCTGAGGGATTACAACCTCTTCTCCGAGCTTCAGGTCAGACTGCGGGCCGGAGGGATGGGGGTGGCGGTGCGGGTCGAGTTCCCACTTCGTTACACCACTCAGGAAAGAGAATTCCCAGCCCCTCCTCACTTCACCTCAAGAATGACACCCAAGGAGAGGGCTCGTCATCCCACAGTGAGGAAGACCCCGGGTCTGGCAAACATCACCTCAACAGTAGGTGGAGACTCAGCCCCTGCGGAGCTTCATTTAAGGCGAGAGGGAGTTTGCTAACAGACCAGGCCAGCAGAGGTGGCTCAGTAGGTGGGCTTTTAGGGCTCCCCGTGAAAGTCCACAATTTCTGATTTGAACTGAAATGGTGGACAAGAGGGATCCATCCACCCACGCTACTACCCACACACCCATCAATCCATCCATTCATTCATCTATTCACCCGTCCATCAGCCCTTCCACCCATCCGCCACCCACCCATTCATCCATCCACCCATCCACCCATTCATCCTACTGCCCACTCATTCAACCATCCATCCATTCATCCGTCCATCCATTTGCTTATTCGGAATCCACTCAGCTCCCACCACTTGTGTCACTGTCCACTCATCCCAGAGGATACAGATACACTGACCTGGCGCCTGCCCCTGAGGCAGACACAAAAACAGATGTTTGTAAAGCCCATCAGGGGTGCAGGCATTCCCTGAGGATGGAGCTTAACCCACAGGCCCGTGTGCCGATGTGCAACACACTGTCCCTGTGCCAGCTCACCAGGGGCTTCCTACTGAGCCCTCTCCCAGCCTACCCTGGTGCTTCCTTCCCCCTGACTTTTGCATGTTCTAGAGGTAACACCCTCCATTTTGTCTGAATACCCAGATCCCACCTGTGGTCAAGGCACAGCTCAAAGGCATGGCTTCCTGTGTGTTCCTGTCCAAGCACTTACCACGTCACGTCCAAACAGCCTGCTTTGTCTGCTCCCCACCAAGCCTGGGGCTCCCTGGATGGGCAGAGACCTGGTTCTGTTCAGGCTGCATCCGGCACAGAGATGATGCAAGAGCTGATGCTTCTGAGAAGAGTTTGTGGAAGAAAGGAGGGAAGGGAGGGAGGGAGGGATGGAGGTGGCGGGCGGAGGAGGGAGGAATGGACAGAGCCCCCTTCTGTGATCCACCCACTGGAGTCTTCAGGCTGCTTGTCCTTCCAGGGCCTGGGGGCTGCCTCCCCACCCCTCCGTGGACCCTCGCGTGGCACCTGGCACCTGCCTTGGGGACTGCTCTCCTAGGCCCTGGGAAAGATGCCCCCTCGCCATCCCAGCCCCGGCCCAACCCCACCCAAACAGCTCCCCTCCCCAGAGGCTCCCAGCCCACCGGGGCATTTGGGAGTTTCTTGGAGGAACCAGCCCATTTCTGGGCCCATCAAGACCCTGGGAGATAGGACTCCTGGGTTAGCATCTTTCGACGATGGTCACTTGGAAAGCCTGTCTGTCAGAGAACTCTAAAGCCAAGACCAAGGGCCATGGCCTTGACCATCAGCCCGGGTGCAAGCGACCACGTTTCCCAGCACACACACCACTTAATGTTTAACACCCCGCGAGCTTTCCAACCGCTAATGACACGACATTAACTTTGCACAAATAAGAAGGTTCAGAGGAGCCGAACTGGAACCCAGCGAGTGTTGGCCAGGCCATCACGCCCCCTCTGGCCACGAGGGTCTTGGCCTGGCAGTCCAGGGGCTGGGGGTCAGGGGCCACTGGGGGGTGGGGAGTGTGATGGAGGGACCTCAGGACCACAGAGCTCTGTTCCCACTTCTCCCATCTCAGCTGTTTCTAGATTCTGCTCAAAGGGTGCCCCCCGCCAGGAAGCCCGCCACTCTCGCTGCTCCCACCAGCATCACACTCACCGAGTTGGTCTCCTCCACTCTCCTGCAGGTCAGGGTGATAAACTAGCAACCCTTTCTTAGCCAGGTCCCCGTTTAAAGCAGACTGGAGACAAGGATGTAGGTTCAGGCAACGATTCCTGGAAGCACAGCAGGGACCAGGGAGGAGAAACTGGGAAAGATGGGAAAACAAGAAAGCTGCTTTCTCAAATGGGTTTCTGCTGCAGGCAACGGGGGCTCAGTCCCCTGGGAGCCTCTACGAGGCTATGGAGAACACCCCAGAATTGTCCCCTTCCAGGGGGGAGCACCTACCCACCAACATCCTGCTTGAAGCTCATTCGTGGGACCTTAAGTCCCCAACACCTCCCGCAGGGCTCGCCTGCAGCCAAAGAAGTGCAGAACGTCGGTCAGGGACACGGGACGGCCCCCAACCGCCGCCATTCACGGTGGACCCACGTGGGCCAGGCGCTGTGTCAGCAGGCTCTCGCTCCCCTCGGCTCCTGGGTTAGCCCTGCTACTATGGGATGGCCCTGCTAGGAAAGGTCCCCATTTTAGAGATTAGGAGACTAAGGCCAGACTGGGCACGTGGCCTTGCCAAGTGGAACAGCCAGTCGGTGCCAGAGCTGGATTTGCTCTGACCACCGGCCGCTCAATACGCTCTGAACTTGTAGACACACTTCCTGAATCTCCAGCCACACAAGCTCAGCTACACGAAGGCCCCGGAGCTCAGAGTCGGGCAGCAACAGAGGAGGACTCCTTCTCCCCGGCTGTGTCCAAGGAGGTCACGGGAGACCTGGTACGGCCGGCTCTGCCTCCTGCTGAGGCGGGCCCTCGGCCAACGTGGAAACCCTCCCTCTTTCCATCGCAAATGCAGGGAGAGGGCATGGGGTGACAAATGCAATCACAGACCCGTATGGAAACTCAGAGAACATTCCTGAGGCCAGCCAGGCTGACCAGATTCTCTAGAGAGCCTTAATTAGATAGAAAGTTCAGTCCCTTTGCTCATGGAAAACTCCACTGGTGATCAATGGAAGATATTCAAAATGACTGACAGTGGACCTCAGCCCAGGACTCTGCCCAGACCCAGGCTCCCTTCTCTCTCCCTCCCCAACCCTTCCCACCAGGCTTGGCCAAGGGAGCCCTGGAAAGAAAACGCCCCCAAAAGCCATTCCCGTTGTTGGCCCCTTTGGTGCACTGCTCTGGGGGCCGAGTGTGCAAAGGGTGAAGACAAGCCCTTTGCTCCCTCTCCCAGCCCCGGCCTGGTCCACGGCCCTAGGATTCATTTCTAGAGTGACGCCCACCTCCCCGTCTCCAAAACCCCCCATGTCGCCTGGCCCTGCACTTCTAAAAGTCCCCAGGAATAGGTCGCCAGCAGCTGAGGGAAGCGTGGGTGTGTAGACCCTGGCCCTTAAATTCAGAGTCATGATCCACTGGGCTGCTGGGGGCGGGTGAATTTCACACAGGAATCTTGACATCAGCTCACCAAGCTTCACTGAGCACCTACAGCGTCAACCAGACCAGAGGATGCCCGCAGAGTGGAAGACACCAAGCGCTCGTGGTCCGGGAGGGGACAGCTCAGGCACAGACCCCACCCTGATTCCAACAGGACTCTCCCAGATTAACCCCCAACCTCCTGCAGGAAGCCTTGAGCACCCAGGGACCACAATGGGGAAGACACAAAATATGTGTGTGTTGGGGGGGGTATCAAAAGAGTAGACAATCCAGATGTTGCTGGCATATGCAGAAAGGACATCTAAATGACCTGGGAAATCAGGGAAGACTGCCTGGAGGAGGCAGTGCCTAAACCAAGACCGAATTTAGCTGGAGAGAAGCGATTCAGGAGAGGCCTTCCAGCAGGGTCAGCTGCAGAGGTGATTCAGGAGTGGTCTGGGTCAGCCTGGGCAGGGCCACGTGAGGGCCTCTTAGGCCACTGATGGCAGACCCTTTACGGCCGGGGTGTGACGAGAAGCTGGAGCGTGGTCCAGGGCCAAGCTCCATCCTTGCTCCCGGGATAGGAGGGTTTCACGCAGAGCTGGTGATGAAGTCGGTCCCAAATCCTCTGCAGCACAGAAGGCAGTTTGGGGTTTTCTTATCCTCCGGGCAGTCAGGAACTGCACAGGGTAGACCCTCCCTCCTGGCCCTGTCAGCCTTCCGGAATCTTCTTCCAGGTGTCGGTCTCCTGGAAGCTGATGCTCAGGGAAGGGTCTGACACCCGTTTCCTGAGTCCACCCCCTCCCTGCTGCAACCCTGGAAGGAAGCGGGGTCGGGAGGTGGTACCCCAAAGTGGAGCCCCACGCCTAGCACACTTTCTGCCTCGTGGGTGGGGGCCATGATAGTGGGATTAAGCAGAATGTACGTGAAGCGCAGGGAAGAAACCGGACCAAGGGCAGGTCTCAGAGCCCAGAGCAAGCAACCAGCAAGTGGTATCTCAGCTCCTTCTGTCTCCGAGGTTCACTTCCCATACTTGAAGGAGGTCCACGGGGCAGGGCTTCTCCTTCCACCCTGCATCTGTGCCCTCGACAGGCCAGCACACAGTGGGTGCTTTGCCGAGGGCGAGGCTGAGTCCTGCCTGCTCACCTGCACCTGCCGGGTGTGGGTCTGGCCCAGGGCTCTCCCCTCACCTCACCCCTGCCGGCCAACTGCGGCCCTTGACTCCTTCTAGACCCAGAGACAGCACGGTGCTCACCCACAGAATCAGAGCAACGTGAATTAAAACCCCAATCCTGACTAAGAGGGTGCCCCAGGATGGGTGGCTTAGCCTCTCTGAGCCTCAGTTTTTTCATCTGTAAATTGAGGGCGACAGTAATCCCAGTTTGCTGTGAGACCCACCCGAGGGAAGGCACGCACACAGTGAGCGGGCAAATCGACAAAGTCTGGGTACCATCTTCACTTTTACAGTTTTCACTGTGTAACCCTCCAGCTGCCCAGTTGAGTCTGCAGGATTCCCGGAGCCAAGATCGGAGCCTCCTGGAGCGCCCCACGGTTCGGCCTCTGTGTCCTGTGGGGAGGTCAGGTGAAAGTTCGGGGACAGTAAATAAACTCACAGGCTGAGTGAGGTGGGCGCCATCACCTTTGGTCCAGAGGCTCTACTTTATCTCCTGTCCCTCCCGCCTGTCCTGTTTGCCCACGTCAAGCTGATGGACAGTGGGTAAACATGGCCCCAGCAGGCTGGCCCGCTGAGAGGCAGTGGGGCAACGGGGGCAGCGGAGGACGGCCAGGAGAAGCTGGGGACAGGGTAGGGACCAGGCCAAGGAGTCTGGGGAACAGAGCCAGCTGCAGGAAAGAGCTCACCCCCATCTCCAGGGCTGGTCCCATCTCCCAGGGTCGCAGACCAACAGAAACCCAGCCCAGCCAGCTACAGGCCTGCCTGGAGACCCAGCTCTAGGCTCACCCTCAGCCCCTTACCCCCTGGATCCCACCTCACTCTGCAGGACTAAGAGAACACCCATTCCTTCACCTGACAATTGTTACCCCGGCACCCAGTGAGCATGGTCACCGAGCTAGTAAGCAAGTTAGCGGGGTCCTGTCCCAGGGGCTACTCTCTGTCCAAGTCCACGTGGAATTCCAGATCCAGAAAGTCAAGGTGTCTGCTCAGCTGACTCCATGCCTCACGGAAATCCCTCGGTCTCTGTTGAGGGGCCTTAGAAAAAAAGCCTTTTGAAGGCATGGACCACCCTTTTCCTCTCTCATAAGGAAACATCTGATAAATCAGTGCTGGACCCTAGCCCCAGGAAAACTGGTCCTCCAGGTGAATGCTTCCTCCCATTCGCCAGAAGAGCAAGCCCATCTTCTTTCTTTCCTTGCTGTGGCTGCCAGGAAGCTCAGGCTCACATCATGTGACCAATGGCCCTCTCTCCGGTTCCTGAGACACTCTTCTCTTTCCTCTTCCCTCTACAGCATTCCTGACCTTTTCCTTCGATTTCCATAATTAAGTTCTGTGTTTCAGTATGTATTTTTTTGCAGAAGATTCCCAGTGAATACACAGAAAACGTCTAATTGTGTATATACCCAGCCACTTAACATTGCAAAATAAATAATTTCCAGTTGTGTCCTCAAAACACTGGCGCGCGCACACGTGCGTGCACATACACACAATCTTCAGAGTCCTCCCCTTAGCCCACTTTCCTAGATGCGTTGTATCTCTAAAGGTATGAGTGTCATACTCATCCCCCTGCTACCACCCTGCTTTCAGCACACACCTCGTCCCTGATGGGGCGTACGGAGTGGGGAGGGAGCTTGGCAGGCGGAGTCCCTGGGCCTGGCTCCTACTTTGCCCCCATGCAAGTGAACACCTGGGGGCCCCCTCCTGGCCTCCAGTTATACACCTGGAACACAGGAGTTAGTGATTTTTCCTCTTGGAGGGGAGGGAGGATTCACTGCCCCAACTGCCACGTCTGACCCCCTTCCAGGAGGGCACCCCCTCCCTGATCGTGGGCTCCCACTCTGTAGACTCTGACCAAAGCCCTGGGCCGACCCCCAGAGAGAACCCCATGAAAAGCCAACCCGAGCCAGCGCCACCATGTTCTGGGAGCTGCCAGGAGCCTCGCTGGCCATTCCCTGTGCGATGCTGTCTCTCCTTCTCCCCTCCAGACTCGGGGCTCCCCCAGGGCAGGGGCCTGCCCTTCACCCCACAGGCAGGCAGAACCCAGCACTAGGAGCCCTCCTCCCCCCAGCCCTACGGAAATGCCCCAGCCGCTCCTCTCCCCAGCACCCCACCCCGGTGCGGGGTTGCTGAGGCCGCAGGCTGCCCTCCCCAGACCTGTGCACCTGGTAAGTCCAGCCACGTGAGGACCGTGATGGAGAAACCAGGTCTGGGACAAGTTCAACCGAAGAGGCAGGAGTTGGAGGTGTCCAAGGCACAGGGCACCCATACCCCGCCCACCCCGGGCTCTGCAAGAGGCTGCCACATGTTCCCCAGGACACCCTGCCCCCTGCGCACCGCAGAGCTGCCTCTGCCGGTCCCTAACACAATTCATCCCCAACCTAACTGCACTGTGCAATAAAGGAAGGATAATCAGTATTAATATTGGTTATTGTTATTGATTTCAGCTTGAAAGAATTGATTTCCAGTCTGGGCCCCTTTTATGAGGCTCTTTGCAGAAGACCCATGGATGAGGCCCACCACTATTTGTGGACCGGCCCCCTCACCAGGCCGGGCCTGCAAAAATCACCACAGGGACAGCGGGGAAGAGGGGGAGTGAGGAAGTGAGGAGAGGTGGGTGAGGATGGACGGCCCTGGGGCGGAAACACTTCCACGCTCTGTGCTCCACAAGGAGCCGACACCAGGGGCTGGGTGGACCCTCATTCATCCAGGGAGCATAGATCTTAAAAGGCCACGTCATGGGCCTGCTTTTTCTCTGTGCCCCACATTCACCCACCTCCCCACTCCAGCCCGACCCCCAGGGCCCTGCCCGATGAGCCTGCCTCCTGCTGAGCTCTCCCCGAACCCAGCCCCCTCCCCTGCCCACCCAGAACCCCTACTCCCCAGCCCCCATTTCTTCCGAATACCCAGGGTCGGTTGAGACCCTGCTCTGGGCTCCTACCCACCACAGCCCTGCCGTGTGCCCACTGATGGGGCAGGCGCAGAACCCTGAGTCTCACTCCAAGTTACCTGCAGAGACGTACTCCAAGCCTGGCTTCCACGCACACACACAGGTTTGTTGAATGAATGAATGACCACAGCGTTTTTGAGCACCTACTATGTGCCCAGTCATATGCTCCTAGAATGTCAGAGTTGGAGGACAATCTGACAATTTAGAGACAGAGACGATCTCATCCACCCCCTGTACAGATGGGGAAACTGAGGCCCAGGGAAGGGAAGGGACTTTCCCAGAGTCGCTTGTTCCCCCTCTGGTGCT